CCCGTGACCAACGGAGCAGTGCCTAGCCTTACGACTCTGTGGAAATGTGTTAAGTGCCTAGCAAGAGGACACGATCAATGACTGTATGAAATGATGACACCTGTCCATGAAAGAAGTTTTTCTATAAGTTATTTTAGAACAGACAAAATCGTAAGCTTTGTGAAATGAAGGTGCTGGCATCTCCTCAAAGTTGTTCTAGGACGTGAGCAATTAGTGGAGTTAGCATGGGCGGTAATCAATTTTTCTTTCATACAGTTATACCTTGCTGACATCATACCGCTGGTATACGGCTCATTTACTGAACGGTCCCCTCCAATTTTAAGGGGCAATTTCTCAAAAAGAATTTTTTTTACTCACTACGTATCCTGTCCAATAAGGCAGCACCCAGACAAAAAATATTTTGCCACCAGCGCTACGCTGCCCACTTACCGACGGTATCGAACTTGGGTCAGCTTGAGTGAGGCTGGCGTATCGGCTTGGTTCGCAAAGAATGAGGGAGGAAAAATAAAATGATTCTGAACATCATAAGCTCTATGAAGATACCTGTTTTCACAAGCGAGAAAACAAAGACGCAACAGCACGCGAGCCGTAAACATTTGGGATCGGATCGCTCGCAGAACACAGCATGCCGGCTGCAACGAAGTGCGCAGATGCACAACTAGTGCATCATACAGAGGAGGCGCTATAGAGGCAGTGGGGACCACACGATGGCCCAATGGCAGACACTATTGACGAATCCGCTCCCAGGACTAGCTGATTCTATGAGTATTAGTCAGACGCAGTATGATCCAATGAATATGAGACCACTAAGAATTACACCCGAATATTGATTACCCCACCAGTCGAATATAACATAGCATCAGGACCATTATACTATAACCGGCGAGTCACAAATACTTGACTTATTGAATAAATTTGCTATATTCACTAATAGTTTGCCATATTATTTCCGTGCACTGGTTTAAAAACCTTATTTCCATTTGATTCATTGATTACTCGCGTGAATGTTTAGCACGTAAATGTCTTCGTTTTTAAAAACGTCCGACCTCGACTACAAAACCATCAACCAGTTGCATAGATTAAAACATGTCAACCACTCACTCACCCCGTCTTAAACATTCCCAAAGGAAGTGCCTCTGTCTCCTCGTGGTGCTGGATGAAGTCACCTGGTGACGAGTAAACCCAAAATAGTCCCAAACAGGGCGCAGAAGGCATTTTTCTGTTTTTACAGTTGTCCGGAGTTCGGGGGCCGGCAAATGCTGCCGCCATCTTGCTCAGCTCAGCTCTGTGCTGAGCTCTGAGAGCGGGAAAGACGGACTGCCCTCCCCTGCCCTCTGCTGGCGCGTGCTGTGCATTACAACCAATGTCGTCCCTGTCAAAACTCCGTGTCAGTGTAATAGAATGAAACGGATCTGTGATTTGGCGCACAGTCTGTGACGTCACGGTATTGAAAATCATACCGACGGTATTTCCAAATACCCTTGTATACCGTAATACCGTCATACCGCCCAAGCCTAATCTGAGTTGTATTGAGATCGCATTATGGACTAGATTCATATTAAAATGAATCAATGAAGTGTGTTGGTGCTGCAGAGAACTGCCAGCCTACACATCATATTCTACAGACTTAAGAAATAAAAGCTTTGTATGGTACAGGTTCTCGCGAAATAATAACACCACTCTCAATATGATATATTTTATAATATAAATTAGAATATACAAAGCACTATCAGCCAAATTGATTGTCATGGGTTATTTCATACCGTTTGACCCTAATTCTTACCCTTAGTACCTAGCCTATTGCCTAGTGACAGCTTTACTCAGAGCAGCTGTCAATCATGACGACGTGTGACCTATACTGTAACCAGCCCTCGAGATGTTATGCCTTCCCTTTGGAGGAGCTGTCATGTCGTCCATCTTTATTTACAGTCAATTTTTTTTTCACCTATCGGTAGAAAAAAGCCAGGACAATTTAAACACATTTCAATTCGTCTTTATCATTTTTGGATGTCCATCCTCTGACAATTGACTGCATTGTCATCCATCAGGTTAATTACGTTTAATTTGCTTTCTTTTACAGACGGAACAGGAAAATGACAAACTGCAAAGCAGAATGGAGCAACTGGGGCAACATGCAGCGTGAGTTCACAAAGACATGAAGCTAGGGGAGCTTCAGCATGGGTCCAACATGGCCTGAGTCAGTTTTGATGATTTTAGCTAATTGATTTGTTGACAACTGCCACAATGATAACTTTTGGACCACACTCTTTATTTCCCTGTATTTCAGATGTACAGTGGATCTTCAGAAAGTTCTGGAGACATTGGAGGACCAGGAGTTGAAGGAGAACGTTGAAGTAATGAGAAACCTGCAGGACATTATCTTGGAGCTCAAGGTGTTTTAAGCTAAATAGACTTATTTACATGTTATTAATGGTTATTATAACTTATATTGTAATTAACATACATTTTAAAGTGGACCTATCATGCTATTTGAATAATATAGTGTAGGACCATACCTATATAAGGCATATTTATACTTTTTATTTTTCAAAATACCAAACAGATCATGCGTTTTAGCCATTCCTCATTTCGCTCAATTTAACACTGTCTTTGCATGGGCTGATTCTGTGAGAACAGCACCATCTATAGGTCTGGCATATGTACTACAGCGTCTCCAGCGCTTTCGAACGGCAATGTCCGTGGCTGTCTCCTCCTGATTGGTGGAGTTGGCCCAATAGCTGTAGCGCCACTTCTGTGACGTCATAGAAGTGTTCAAATCTGGATCAGTCTGTATCAGATCCGTTGCAGCCCCTTTTTAAGAGATTTGGGTATGGAGGAAAATAGAGAGGGTTGTGTTTTCTGACACTTGGTGAGTTCCCTGGAACACCTAGGACACATATTCATGTATAAAAGACGTACAAAAGTGCGTTTTGCATGATAGGTCACCTTTAAATCCAGCATTGTTGATGATGTTTACACTATGTTGTTGTGTTTTTCCTTAGAGTGAGAGTGAAGGCATCACTGCCTCCATTGATGCTATGGCTGCAGGAGACGGAGCTGAGCTGTCTGGGAATGGCAGTAGCAATGACGATCCAGTACGTTTGACACTTTTGTCCTCTTAGTTTTTACACAACACAATGCTTCCTATCATATATACCAGGGGTCGGCAACCTTTTTGATATGAAGTGCCATTCAAAAAATAAATTGTTATCGGCGTGCCAACGATCGAGAATTATCAAGGGGGGGGGGGGAGCCTCGCTGCGGGGAAGCAGTGTGTGGACCTGTCAGCGCAACTTACATGATGCCGAATTTAACAAACACATTTTAATAATTGGTTTAAACGGCATAATAATAAGGACGATCCTCCGTTCTGTGATTCTCCAGAGCACACATGTTATGATATTAGGGTCATGCACAGTGAGATGAGATCGCTGTCCCTTTAAGAGAGAGAGAGAGAGGTGTGGCTTGTGCATGTGTGTGTGATGGTAGAGCGACAGTGAGGGAACGTGTGTTTGTTTCTGGAAGTGAAACGAGGAAGCAGAAAAACAGAGGTCTGTGATGTATTTTGTGAAACAGAAGAACAGCTAAATAAATGCAACGGCCTCCCAAGAAGAGCTCGCCTCTCTCCAGTCATTTAAGCTAAAGTGGGTTATTGAACCTGAAGCTTGTTGCTTCTGCCCTCCTCGACTACGGTCTGGGAGCCGACAGGAAAGTTCAACACACAGATGGCCAGTCCGCCCCTTTGTAGCATATTATTTCAATGAGAGATGAGCAGATCGCCACTGGGCTTTCAACTAAAGACACAGCCACGCAAAAACTGCAGCATTTGTACAGCTCCTTATGGGTACTGCAATTAGTGAAGTGCTTTCCTCTGTATTCACTTGTACACATATAATAGTTCCCCAGCCGTGGACCGACTTGTGCGCCGTGGCATTGGTCACCGGGAACCCTACTTCACACGTTTATAATTTAAGGAAAAGCCCCTAGGACTTGCTCTGGGGCGGTCTCACGCAGAGGGCAATGGACGTCTCTTCGGTACGGCGTTGCGTCGGGCGAGAGAAATTGAGCCGCTGAAAGACGCGAAAGGAGGCACCACGTCACGACTAGCAAAGTGTGGGGGTCGNCTCGTCCATCATCGAGTACGCCTACAACGACAAAGCCGTGTTAGCGCAGAGACTGATGCTCACTGAGGAGCTGTACGGGAACACCTACACCGTCTGCAGGGTACACACACACACACACACACACACACACACACACACACACACACACACACACACACACACACACACACACACACACACACACACACACACACACACACTCTATGATGATGGACAGTGTTGATGATGTCATTGTGTCTGTGTTGGTCGTGTGAGTGTTATCTGCTGCTCTGAGTGGCTGAACGTTCCTCTTCCTGTGTTTCAGTCTGGAGTATGTAACACCATCGAGAAAGTGGCCGAGGCGAACCCGGACAAGCTGGCCAACATCATCGAGGAGATGAAGCAGACCCTCACTCCCATGGCCCAGAAGTAAGGCAGCGTGTTTTATATCACAACATTTAGTTAGTAACCTTTGAGACAAAACAAGTCATTTGAAGATGTTTCTTAATGTTTGGAGTCTTAACGGTGGAAATGTGATTCCTGACCAACAATGTTTAGTTATCATTTCTTGGATAAGTCAAAGATAATAAAAAGCGCTTCTGTTTCTCCGCTTCATTTATGTGATTTAATGTCACCTGTGTTGATTGAAAGACAAGGTAACTACATCTTCTGTGGTTGTGTTTCAGAGAACAAGTCATCAAACACTCTCTGGTCCACAAAGTCTTCCTGGACTACTTCCTGTTTGCACCCGAGAAACAGAGAACGGTGAGCAGCTCTTTGACATCTAAGATATTGTTCACATTGTATATATTTCTTTATTAAGAAGGATACAATGTGCTGTAAAATAAAAGTAAATGTCTCAATAAAAAAGCAGTAAAAGAGTATGAACAAGTCAAATGTTACAGTTTCATAGAACTAAAATATTTTAAAAGTAAAATACATTTTTTAAAGTGTATTTACTGTTGAATGGAATTACATGTTTCTTCTCTCCGGTGTGTGTGTGTGAGCAGGAGATGATCGAGTCCATCAGAGAGTCAGTCGTCTACATGGCTCACACACACGACGGAGCCCGAGTGGCCATGAACTGTCTGTGGTTCGGGACGGCCAAGGTGTGTGTGCTCACACACACACACACACACACACACACACACACACACACACACACACACACACACACACACACACACACACACACACCTGATATATTCTTTTTAATGTAGATAATATTGTATAGTATGCCCAACCACTGGCCACATTTTAGGTGCGATTAACAAGTTCGCATGAATATATATTTCAAAACTGATGTTAGCACTATTTTACCAACATCTGATTTTTTCTCTTTCCAGCAGTGTATACAACTCAAAATGTGTCTTCGGGTCAATGCGACTGATTTCGATAGAGCAGGTCACATATTTTCAAACTGTAGTTTTGGTCATTAATTCTGCCTCACAGGAAATGAATACCACAGCTAAAAAGTCAAATGAACAAAATGCATCAACAATCATATCTTGTGTTATGAACAGCAGTTTTATTTGTCATGTTTCAGGACAGAAAAGTCATCATCAAAACTATGAAGACCTACATGGTGAAGTTTGCCACGGTGAGTTCTCAATGCCATTCATTCATTTTAGAAACGAGCTGTCTGTAACTGTGTTGCCTCATTGGATTTTAGAGAACAAAACTCTTAATTATAAATATTTACTAGGAGAAAAGGTTGCATTTATAAATATCTAAACTCATCAGCTTATATCTTACCTGAACTCCTGATGTTCATGTGTCTGTTCTCCGTCCACAGGGAGAGTTCGGTCACCTGGTTCTTCTGGCCATGTTCGACTGTGTGGACGACACCAAGCTGGTCAAACAGGCCGTGCTCTCTGTGAGTCTGAGCCCATGTGCTTTTGATGATGCAAAATCAAACACAACTATGATTTAATAGGCTAATATAATCAGGTTGTAGTTATTATCTAAAAGTCTTGTCTCGCCTGTTTCCCTGTGCAGGAAGTCTTGTTGTCTCTGGATGAGGTCATCGGTAATAAATACGGTAAGAAGGTTCTGTTGTACCTGCTGACCCCCAGAGACCCCGCTCACCTGCTGCCGGAGATCATCAAGGTGCTGGCGCGAGGAGACGGGAACACACACAGGTAACTCATCACAAATGTCTAATTAAAATATAAAAACTACCTTTTTGCCCCATGACACATTTTGTCATTATTTGCTTTCACTTTTTATGACAGTGGAGTTATTTTCAAGCTTCTCACCTTTCAGCCAATCACATGCCCCCTGCTGCTCTTAAAGGGATAGTTTCCATTTTTTAATTGGGGTTGTAGGGGGTATCTATCCTTCAACTAGCGAGCAAGTTCACCAACTGCTTCCAAATAAACATTTAAACTTCTCAAGGTAGGGAAAGTGCTCATTCATACTGATCGGAGCAAAGGGCTTCCTGAAGGGAGGACATCAGTAGTGAGGGATGTAACCGCTGCAGCAGAGTGACATCAGATCTGTGTTCCTCTCCTCAGTAAAAAGGACATGGCGGTCCGGCGAAAGGAGCTGCTGGAGGTCGTCTCCCCCCCGCTGCTGGAGCATCTCCGTACCAACGCCGACACCATGGTGATAGACAAGGCGTCCAGCGTCACCATCAGTGACATCCTGGCGTCGGCCTGCGGGGATCTGCGGCCCGCCATGACAGCCGTGGCTCAGCTGGCCAATCAGGAGCTGGTTCCAGGGGGGATAGACGGACAGGTAGGGGTGTGTGTAGTGCTGCGTACCGGTACGCCGAACCGGTACTGGACTTGTAAAAAGTTTCGGTTCAAGTCCGGTTAAAACCGGAACGTCGGGAACCGGTAATTACGTATATTCTCCTTTTTGTTCTAAACCATCTAAAACCTTCCATAGATCGAGAAATTTGCGCTGAGAAAAGATGAAAAAATTGTTTTGGCTTCTGATATGGCGGCCATTACTGAACTCACGAAGTCTCGCAAAATATCGCAACTGCTCGCGAGATCTGTGTGACGTCAAGGGAAGCTGGCTTAGACATAGTGGACACTGACACTGACGTGAGATGCTGGTTGCCATATTTGGTAGTGTAGCTAACTGACAAGCATGGGATACTGGTTGCCATATACGGTAGTGTAGCTAAGCTAACTCCTTTGTATGTATGGTGATATAGTGTCTGCCGAAAGAGCAACACTTCACCCAGACAATGTCAATATGCTGTTGTTCTTGAACAAGAACACATAGACTTGTACTCTTGCATATTGAGTCTTGTATGTACATCACTATGTATGTAGTTGTGTTGTGTAGTTAGTAACACATGTAGAGTTCTAGAAAAGACATGGTGTAGACACAAGTTGGAAGGGGGCACAATAAACCTGACGAGTTTGAATTTGAGTTGATTATGAGTTTACTTTCAATTGATAATTAGCTCACAATAAGTTGACTTTAGTTACTCACACAACTTGACACAAGTCCGGACTTATAAGTCCTGAACCTGTGTGTGTGTGTGTGTGTGTGTGTGTGTGTGTGTGGGTTTTTCGGAAGAAGCAAGCATGGAGGTTCTCCTCACAATAAATGGCTTTCCAAAACAAAGTCTGCTGTTCTTCTCACTGACTTCCTGTTTCTGCTGCAGCTTCACATGGCCGAGCACCCAGCAGGACACCTGGTGCTGAAGTGGCTCCTGGAGCAGGACATGACGCTGGCAGAGGCCGGCAAGGAAGGTAAAAACACACACACCTACAACTAGGCCATGAAGTCATACATTCATTTACCTTTGCAAAACTGCACCCAAATGTTTTTCTTTTTATTAACCTAATTAATTTGAAATCAGTGCAGTTTTTGAAACAAGGATAAGATTATGAGCTAAAATATTGATAACTAAAGCATGTCTCCCTTCTCTTATTTGTTTCCTCTCAGAGCGCTTCAGCAGGATTCTGGTGGACGCAGTGGGAACAGACAAACTGAAGAGCTGGGTCAAAGTCAACAGAGGAGCCATGGTGCTCTGCAGGTCAGTGCACACACACACAGGTTACCTCATCCAAACCATAAGTGTCCCTCTAGTAGTATCTGTACTTGTCAGGGTCCTTTGATTTTATTTATTTATTTTAAGCATGAGATTTCTGCCATAACAACCCCATGTAAATTAGTGGAGGTGTGATGCTCAAAACAATGAAACGCTTAAAAAATCTCAACAAAAAACATATATTTTTTCCAACAGTGTCCACATTTTTCTTGTCATTCCACATTCTGTCAGCAGTGTTAATAGGGAACACTTCATTAATAATGTGAGCAACACAAAGGCATGACATGGATAAATAATGAAACCTTTGCCTGTTTTGTTTGCAGCCTCCTGAACAGCTATGAGAAGTCTGTGGCTGCGGAGGTGAAGGAGGCGCTGCAGTCCATCAAAGGAGAGCTCAGCAGCCTTGCCAACAACAAAGGAGCTGAGATCCTGCTGGAGAACCTCAACAAGTAGAGACTTTATTCCAAACAGACTGGTGATGTCATCGTATCATTTCCTGTGCAGCAGAGAAACAAGCCTGCAGACGTTTGAAGCTGCGAATGGGAAAGATTTCAGGAGGTGTATGCAACCTGGATCTCTGTTATGTCCGTCCCTGATGGAAACATGGACGTCAATTTGTGTGGAAATGTATCTGTTGATAATGAAATAAAAGATGTTTGAGAAGGTGATTGAACAACAGGTCAACAAAATACATCTAATGTAAACACTCTTTTGCCATATTTTTCCCAATGACTGTCAATAAAACTCAGTTTCTTTCACATAAAAGATTCCCTTTGGGATGCTGAAGGCTTTTTTTGCTGATTAGTTGAGTTTTATTGACAGTAGTCTAAAGGCAAAGGAGATATACAGTTAATAGAAACTCAGAGCAGCAGACTGGTGGAAATAACTTTATTCTGTTTTTGTGCTGTTGGATTGAGCTCCGACATTTCAGCAGCCTCTGTTAAACAGGAAAGGTGTTCCTGTAGTTTAAAACTAACAGACCCATAAACCAGGAAAATAAAAACAATCCGTCTGTATTGCTTCAGTACTGTAGTCCTCTTTGAGATTTCTATTCTAAGATTTTGTACCATGTGTTTTAATTTTATCTGCTGAAAAGAAAGAATTTGCAAAATAAAGACTATTGTATTCACATTTGAGTATTTAAATATCACTCGCGTAAAAGCAGTAAGTAACCATTTCTGATAAGAATATTGATACCTCTGTCAAAAGGTAACATGCACATTATGTTTGTGATGTGAGAACCACTTCCTGGAGTGTGCTTCAGCCTGGAAGTTAATCTTTATAATCTCCTGGCTATAGCTTCACATTAAAATGAATATCATGGCATTTTGTCAAATGTGCTTTCTTGCCTTCCTGCCAAGAATTAGATTTTATACTACGAATTGCAGCAATTAGACAATTAGCTTAGCATAACGCCAGAAAGCAGGGTGAAACACAGTCTAGTTTATCAGGTAACAAAATCGAGCCTCAGCAGATCTCACCATTCAAGATTATATCTGTTGTTTGGTAGAACATAACTGTTCAATAATGCCTGTGTTTTAAAGGGCAGTTATTTGCCAGACTATGTATTTAATGGTCAGGAGAATTGACTTCCTGTTGGTTTCTTGGCAAATTTCACAGTGATGAGTTATTTTAAAACGTTTTAAACAGAGCCATGATTTCAGTCTGTGCTAAGCTTATCTCTTGGTGGATTTATATTAAGTGTTGAGCGTTGACTGCTAGCCATTTGCAAATGTTACTCTGCAAGAAAGCCACATTTCCTATAGATTACCTCCACCAAATCATGATCACCTTATAATGCTTTTTACTTTTACCATAAAGTAACATACTGTTCATTACAGACGGTCTAACAGCAGCTAAAACGACTGATTGAATGTCGATTGAGTTACCAGTATAATCAGTTCAGCTTTGGTATTCTGTTTGAAACATGGTTTATTATTAAAGAGATGCATTGGGAAGATAAACAGGTCTAATATCTGTCGTCCAGATGTCCACTCTTCAACCTATGATCTATTTCTGACCCGTTCACGCCATTCACTCCAATTCCTGGATTACTTGTGGGCTTTAGGGACTAATGGATTGAGTGTGTGTGTGTGTGGGGGGGGGGGATTGTGATACAGACAGTTTTAGCATAGATTTACACTATTTCAAAAGAGTATAATGGTGGGTACATATATTTTTATTGAAATAAAAAAAACATTAACCAATATATTTAGGGTTTTTCTCCATCACCTTTTGCCAATGCATGCTGAGATAACAAAAATAAGCAAATATGGAGGATGAATGAAAGGATGCATATAATAACAAAATATGCCCTGGAGCAGCATTTTGAACTCACAGGTTTCTGAACTGAGATCCAGACATCTGGAGATTTCTCAGCTTGTTATTGGTTCAAATTGCCAGACAGTTCATTTAAAGCAGCAACTGGTTGCAACTCCACTGGATGCAAATATAAGCCTGATTGTATAGAAGTCTCTGAGAAAAGGACCGTCCTTCTTACTTGATTTATTACCACAGTAAACGTTTTCCTGACAGGTTTATGGTCTCACGTGCTAGTTTGAAGTCTTCTTCAATAACTCTTAAAGCAGGGAATGCTTTAAGGATTGAATTGTGACTGACAGGCCACTTCCACTGTGTTGCCCATGTTTACGTCTCTGTGTCTTCTCACTTCAGGTCCAGGATAGTAGTGATGTGTCGGTCGCGAACGAGCCGATTCTTTTGAACGGCTCTTTGATATGAACGAGGGGAACCGAGTCGTACTTGGTGAGAGCCGTTCTTGTTATCGTTCAATCGTTTGTCCGCACTCACTGCCTGCCAAAATCCACTAGCCTTTTAAAAAGCTTGATTTTGTTCCCCAAAACGTATTCTGTGAAGACCCACCCCTACTCTGACTGTATTTATCTTCGACACGGAAACCCTGTCTGCTCCTCACAGCAGCTCCTCGCGAGCAGTTGCACGTCGCTTGACCAATCAGAGCACACTGGGCTCACAGGGGGGGGGCGAGCTCCAACAATCCGTTTAGGACAGAGAGTGAACACCAGGTTTCAGCACGAGGAGTGAGATGGGGTGGGTCTTAACGGAATACACGAGAGAGAGAAGTCATAACAAGTGGTACAGGACAGGTAGACAACGTGTTTTTCGGATGGAAAATGAGCCAAACGCGAAAACGCAGTTGGATGCTGGAGGCTACATTCAAAATACATTCACTGACATGAATATGGCGCCACCTTTTGTCATGTTTACAATGCAGATTATTGACATTAGGTCTGACAATACAGTCAATCATTATCCTGGTGATTATTTCGCAGATAAACCTAGTAACCCCGCCCCCTTTAAAAAAACGGCTCTTTTGAACGACTCTTTTGAACGGCTCTTTGAAAGGAACGGAGCCATAAGATCCGGCTCCCTTCAAAGAGCCATAAATCCCATCACTACTCCGAAGCAGGATGATTTCCAGGATAAGAGATCAACTCAGCGAAAGCACCACGCCTGCTGACCAATCAGAGCTCAGTGTGCGGAGGAAATACAGTTTAAACTGCCGTTGCAGGAAAGACGGCCGTCCAAAATCACCGACTGTGTGAACGTGAAAATGAATAGAATATCACCTCCCATCTTCAGAGCAATCTGACTATTATAACTATTATACTATTATGTTAAGAAAGCTTAATTAAATATCTGCCACAACATAAGTAACCGGATCAAAGTAACATTACGTTGCCTGTATACAGTCCGCGGCACTGCGAGTGCAGACGTCGATGTGTCCCATTATCATTTATATCACATCATAATGTATCATATATTTCCTTATCTGAGTCAGCTGAGCCGTATCTGGCCGTGCAACACTCACAGTGTCACATACTGTATGCATAAGTATTATTTTAAGCAACACATTAAGTTGACGAAACACTCGAGTCAAATGTAATTAAAGTCAGATCCACTCGTGTCTTGTAACTAGATTCGTAGTATGCCCCCCTGGGTATACTACTCATTGCAGGTAACAAGATAATAAAAAGTGTTCATGTTTCTTCCCATCTGTGAAAACAGGAGAAAAAAAGTGTTTTGGTAGTTGAAATTATTAATTATTATAGCTATTGGATGTCAGGATTTTGTTCTTGTTGTTGTAGTCCGACTTTCATCCACAAGGGGCTAAAATGCAACATTACCCTAAGTTACACTAAAAGCAAACATATTTTCTTCCAGGTGCATTTTAATGTACCGTATTCTCTTAACAAAAGTAATTTGCTGAAATGATATTGTAACCACTTTAAAAAATACTTGCCTTAATATGGAAACAAAACAATTAAGGCAAAACCTCTTTTCTACCTGTTCTTAAAGAGGATATTATGATTTTGGGTGTTTGACACTTTCCCGTGGTGTGTTATACAGGTTTTTGTGCATGTAAATGGTTTGCAAAGGCTCAAATTAAATTAAGAAAATGTGTGAACTCACTTCTTAATTCATAAACACAAGAGCAAACAATTTGTGTCAGACTTGCCTCTCATGCCTACCTCATGTTGTTTAGCTATTTTTTTTACAATTTTGTATTGCCGCCTCATTGTGTCTTTCCTCTAACCCTTGCCCAATCCAAACAGAAATGATGGTTCATAGCTCACTGCACCTGCCTCATTCATGCAGCATTAGAAATCATCAATCATTTCGGAATCAATCACCTGCCACTGACAATCCACAACAACAGGGTTAACAAATGCAGTGTATAGTAATCACTTCAAGTA